GAGGAGGAAAGGGGGAAGAGGGGACAACATCGCCCCTCGGGGCCCAGCAGCGGGGCCAAAATTCCAGGTGGGGGGAGGGGGGGAGGTGGCGTGCGTCGCGACACGGAATAAAGTGCTCGGAGCGGAGGGGGCGCGGGGCGGAGGTCCCACTGGGGCGCTGGGGGCGCGGAAAAAAAGGGGGGGGGGGAGGTGGTGTGCGTCGCGACGCGGAATAAAATGGTCGGGGCGGAAGGGGGCATTGGGCGGGGCTTGGGGCAGAGGGCCACGGGGCGGGGGTCCAACTGGGGCGCTGGGGACGGGGGGGGAGGTGGTGTGCGTCGCGAGGCGGAATAAAATTGTCGGGGCGGAAGTGGCACGGGGCGGAGCCCCCACTGGGGCGCTGAGGACGCGGGGAGGGAGGGAGGTGGGGGAAGTGGTGTGCGTCGCGACGCGGAATCAAACGTTCGTGGCGGAGGGGGCAGTGGGCGGGGCTCCCGCTGGGGCGCTGGCGACGCGGGGGGGCTCGGGGCAGAGAGCCACGGCGCGGGGGTCCCACTCTGGCGCTGGGGGCGCGGGGGGAGGGTGTGTGTGCGACGCGGAATAAAGCGTTCGTGGCGGAGGGGGCAGTGGGCGTGTCCCCCGCTGGGGCGCTGGGGACGCGGGGAAGCTCGGGGCAGAGAGCCACGGCGCGGGGGTCCCACTCTGGCGCTGGGGACGCGGGGCGGGGGGGGGATGTGCGACGAGGAATACGTTCGTGGACGAGGGGGCGGTGGGCGGTGCTCCCGCTGGGGCGCTGGGGCGGGGGAGCTCGGGGCATAGAGCCACGGCGCGGGGGTCTCACTCTGGCGCTGGGACGCGGGGAGGTGTGTGTGTGTGTGTGTGTGTGTGTGTGTGTGTGTGTGTGTGTGCGCGACGCGGAATAAAGTGGTCGGAGCTCTAGACACCCTGTGCAAGAGGATAAGTAATGTTGATCCCCCCACTGATGCATACTGTTTTTTCTAAATCAAAATGTGCCCCTCGACGCTCGCACCCTGTTTTTTTGGGCAAGGAAAATCTTCATGCTCAAACTGGGCCCATGGCCCCCGCGTTACAACAACAACGGCTCCCGCCTGAGACTTCCTTACAATTTAGCCAGGACCCCCGCTCCCGCCCGAGACTTCCTCGCATTTTATTCAGGAATCTGGCTCTCGCTTGGACTTCCTGACAATTTATTCAGGAATCGCTCTCCCGGCGCTCTGGAGTCGCGCTCTCGCTGGAGACTTGCTTGCAACTTACTGAAGAACGGCCTTACGTTGGAATTTCCTGCAATTTGCCCAAGCGCTGCGCTCCCGACGCCCAGGCACCTCGCGCCCGTCGTGGCCCCATGTGCATGCTCTTCGTGGCCCCGCTGTCGCCATTTGTGTCCCCCTCACTGTCCAACGTGGCCCAGTTGCTACCCTCAGTGGCCCCATACTTGCCTTCTGTGGCCCCGCATTATCTGCACTTCGTGGCCCCCGCTCGTTCGCGCTCTTCGTGGCCCCCTTCCCTTCGTGTCCCCGCTGTCGCCCTTCGTGGCCTACTTCGTGCCCTTCGTGGCCCTGCTGTCGTTCTCTCTCGCTCTCGCTTTCGCTCGTCGTCGCCGTCGTCTTCGACGTCGTCGTCGTCGTCGTCGTCGTCGTCGACGTCGTCGTCGTCGTCGTTCGTCGTCGTCGTGGTCGATCCCCTGTCCGTCCCTCTTGGGGTCGGGTCGACGGTCCGCGGCCGCCCCGCCGATCAGCGCTGCCGCTGGCCAAGCCGACGGTCCGCGGCTGCCCCACCGCTTGCCGGGGCCCGGCCTGCAGGGAAGAAAGGTCTACTCCCCCAAAAGGGGTTCGATCGAAGACCAAGAGGGCGGGTATCGAGGGTTTGGGAAATACGCGTTATTGGACACTCGAACATATAAGGGCGAACAGTCAAAAAATCATTTTTGTTGTTGTTGCTGTTGCTGTTGTTGTTGTTGAACATTATTAATTCTAAAGAATAATTATTGTTGGGGCCCCTGGTGCACGGCCCCCCCGCCGCGCCTAGGCCGCAGCTACATTTTCATCATTTTTTCGCGAAAGCTTCAGAAAAGTGGATGGGGTCCAGATCCGGTTGTTTTGTTGTAATCCGTTTTCCCTTGCAAAAAACACTATAAAATGACATTTCTTGTTCTAATATAATCAAATTTCAAGAATCCCTTGCAAAAAATAAGGTAAAGTGGACATTCGCGCGCGCAAGACGAAATCCTTCCAAAAGCTTAGTGTTCGGAGCGATTTTAACATAAAAACATCAAAAAACCAATGGTTTTTCAACAAAAAAATGTCAAAATCTCATCCCGCGCGCTCTTGCGGATTCGTAGGAAAACCAACACTTTTTAAACATTTCTGTCAAACGGGCTTTTGCGAGCAACTTTTTCGAACTTCTGCGACAACGGTTGCGCACCTGCCAGGGCCATCATCCCTGTCAAATAATACCATGCGGGACACATTCGTTTTTTCTTCGCGCGCGCACGCCGTCGTCGTCGGCCGCGGGGCCCTGAATAGTAGCCACGGTCGTCCGCATGCCACGAAGTGAAGTGTCCGAACGTCATAGGGCGGGAAGCTGGGTGTGGGTGGTGGCGAAGAGTCGTTTGGAAATTTGGTAGAGCTTGAACCGGCCCCCCCACAAAGTGGGGGTATTGGCTGGCGTCGCATGAAAACCCTGGCACTGGTGAGAACACTGAGCGTTCGGGTAAAGTGATTGTTGTTGTTGTTGTTGTTGTTGTTGTTGTTGTTGTTGTTGGCGGTTGTCGTCGGCCCCCCCGCGACCCACCCGCGACCCACCCCGCGACCCACCCCGCGACCCACCCGCGACCCACCCCACGACCCACCCCGCGACCCACCCCGCGACCCAACCCGCGACCCACCCGCGACCCACCGTGCGACCCACCCGCGACCCACCCGCGACCCACCCCGCGACCCACCCGCGACCCACTTGCGACCCAACCCGCGACCCACCCCGCGACCCACCCCGCGACCCACCCGCGACCCACCCGCGACCCACCCGCGACCGATCCACATTGGTTTGAAGAAAAAATCGGCGCCTGCGGCCGGCTCGTTGTATAATTTGTAAAACTTTGGCGCCTGCGGCGGCCTTCTCCAGAGTCTCGCAGACTGCCGACGTCCCCACCGCCCCCTGACTCTTACCCGCAACTGCGGGGTGCTACGTATTTGTTTTTCGCTCTCTCTCTCTCTCTCTCTCTCTCTCTCTCTCTCTCTCTCTCTCTCTCTCTCTCTTTTTTCTGTTGTCTCGGGACGTTTTCGAGCAGGCGCCTGGCGACTAGTGGAGCGCGCTCGGTGACAGTGGGTGCTTGGGGGGTCGACGCATCCCGCCCTGAGCCAGTGCCCGTCACTCCTGCTTTTCGGGCCACGGCCCGGGACGTTTGCGAATAGGCACGCTGCGGGTAGTGGAGCGCGCTCGGTGACAGTGGGTGCCTCTGGGTCGAGGCATCCCGCCCGGAGCCAATGCCTGTCACTCGTGGTTTTCGGGCCACAGCTCGGGCTTCCGGCGGCGGATCCGGACAATCTGGGCACCCCCGCGGAACTCCCTCGTGCGAGGCGCAACCGATGGCGGGCACTCCGGGGCTGAGGAGACCGCCGAGAACCCACGGAAGCGCCCGAAAGCCTCGTGTGTGGACTTGGAAGCGGATGCGTAGCGTGTCGCGCCGAAGCCTGGTGGGCCAGAACCTGGCGGAGGGACACGCGATCCAAGCATTCCCGACAAAACGTTGCCCCTGACGCAATCAACAGAGCTGGGGGTAAGGAGGGACGGGCTGGCGAATTTATTTTGTTCGGTCCGCGGGCAGCAGAGAGGCAGATACCAGCCAACATCGGGAGGGGACGCTCGGGAAACTAATTGCGGCACGGAATGAGCGGGGCAGAGGAGAGAGGCGGAACACAAAAAAGAGCCGCGGTCAGAACATGAAGTCCTTCACGCGCGTGCCAGAGGTGCGCAAGGAGCACGTCGAACTGGTCCACGAAGAACGGGTAGAGCACGACGAAGAAGAAGAGGGCCGGAACTAGACTCTGGCGAAAAGCACTGGTGGGAGACCCGGAGGGCAGTACCAGGACCAGTGACCCACGGGGGGGGGGCAGCATCGGAGGGCAGAGGCAGCGCTGGCGCAGCAAGTTCCTCTGGCGAGACAAGGTACGGTCTGGAACTTCTGCTACGCGCATCGCAGCGGCGGCCCCGGCAACACACTTTGCCCTGCGCAAGAGACATTGACGCTTGGGGGGCCGTGACGTGGACACCGTGTCGCGCCAGAACCGGCGGAGCGACACGCGAAACCAAAATTCCTGACCGTAGGATTTGCGCAGGGACGAGGCCAGCGAAGCAGATCCCCGGCAACGGTGTGCTCTGCTTCAGAGCAAGTGCGAAAAGCCCTGCAGTGACACCGTTGCTTCGGAAAAGCCGCCCTGCAAGTATAATCCCGCACGACCTCCTCCTGCGCCGAAGGCCAGCCACGGACTCACCCGCTGGCCCCCAGGGAGCTACGCTGAGCTCTATTCTTGTCCAGGCGACGAACTACGGTTGGGAATCTATGCTTAGCATGTCGCGGCGGCGGCCCCGGCGACATGCCTGGCGAGCGGATGGCGTGTCGCTCCGTTCCGCTGGGCGGGAGGCTCGGAAAGGCTCGGAGCGCTGATGCCTGGGGATCAGGATGTGAATAGCATGTCGCGCCAACACGTTGTGCGTCAGAGCTGTGGAACGACGCGCTAAGCCAAACATCCAGACCGTCCCCTGAGCTCTGTCATGTCCAGGCGACGAACTACCACCTCTGTGGCGGGATCAATCTCCTCCGCATCCCCCCCCTCTTCGTCGTCATCGTCGTCGCCGTCGTCGCCGCCGTCGTCGTCGTCGTCGTCGTCGTCGTCGTCGTCGTCGCCGTCGTCGTCGTCGCCGTCGCCGTCGCCGTCGTCGTCGTCGTCGTCGTCGTCGTCGTCGTCGTCGTCGTCGTCGTCGTCGTCGTCGTCGTCGCCTGCCTCCTGGCCTGCGGCCGGCGGAGTTCGGCCGCTTCGCCAGGCCAGCGCGGAGCAGGAACCGATCCCGCGACCTCTCGGCGCAGGACGGGTGGCGCAGGAGGAGGAGGAGCAGGAGGGGACGGTGAGTGAGAGCACGAGGGGCAAGGTAGGGAGGAAGGGGGGCAGAGGAGGAGAAGGAGGAGGCACACCAGGAGCAGGAGTATGAGCAGCAGCAGGATGAGGAAGAGGAGGTGGAGCAGGAGGAGGAGGAGAAGGAGGGACGAATGGCATCAAGAGCGGGATTGGTAGGACAATGAGCAGGAGAAGAAAGACCGCCGCTCGAGAGTGTACCGTCCAGGTGGAGGAGTATACCTGCCTTTATTACTCCTCCTCCTCCTCCTCCTCCTTCTCCTCCTCCTCCTCCTCCTCCTCCTTCCCTCCTTCTGGACCTCTTCATTATCCCTGTCCTCTCCTCATCCTCGTCCTACCTGGCTGGTGCTCAACCTGGGAGCATGCGGAGGCCCTTCTCGGAGCCACTGGAAGTGTGGAGCCCTACCGAGTGGGTACTTTTGAGACGTCCTCCTCCTCCTCCTCCTCCACCTCCTCCTCCTCCTGGCGCGTAGCCAAAGCGCACCGAGTTCAATCACCCTAGCCACGCAGCTGCCAGCGCGCCGCCTTCGCCTGTGGCAGGACGGCGCGGCAGATCTCGGGGCGCAGACCTCCGCCGTTGTTCGGGAGGGCCCTCAATCACCTCCTTAGTTTCCTCCCTCGAGCTTCGAGCTGTTGGCTATAGGATCGTTCAGACGTAGCCATCCCCCCACGAGGGTCGGTCGACCCTGGGGGGTTGATCAAACCAAGTAGCTGTAAGTGTACAACAGGGGGGAAGCGGACCAACAGGCCTCCCATGGGCGAGGTAGCCAGGTCCCCCAGCGCCCTGGGGAGGGGGGACTTCTCCTCCTCCTCCTCCTCCTCCTCCTCCCTCCTCCTCCCTCCTCTCCCTCGCGGGGCCCCCAGACCAGAGGCCGCGCAACTCGGCGCCCCGGGCGAAACGGTCGGCTCGCGCAGCCCGCCGCGGCTCCGTGCACGGGGGCTCCTCCGCCGCCGACGGCGCCGACGGCGGTGACGACAGCGTGGACGGCGACGACGAGAGGGACGGGGGGCAGGGGGGTCGGAGAGGCAGAGGAGGAGGAGGAGGAGGCGGAGGAGGAGGAGGAGGAGGAGGCGGAGGAGGAGGAGAGGAGGAGGAGGAGGAGGGGGAGGAGGAGACGGGGGAGGAGGAGGAGGAGGAGGAGAAGGAGGAGGAGGAGGAGGAGGAGCAGGAGGGAGGAGGAGGAGGATGAGGATGAGGAGCAGGGGAGGAGAAGCAGGAGGAGGGGGAGGAGGAGGAGGAGGAGGAGGAGCAGGACCAGGAGGGAGGAGAAGCAGGAGGAGGGGGAGGAGGAGGAGGAGCAGGACCTGGAGGAGGGCTCCGCGCACGGGGGCTCCTCCGCCGCCGACGGCGCCGACGGCGGTGACGACAGCGTGGACGGCGACGACGAGAGGGACGGGGGGCAGGGGGGTCGGAGAGGCAGGAGGAGGAGGAGGAGGAGGAGGAGGAGGAGGAGGAGGAGGAGGAGGAGGAGGAGGAGGAGGAGGAGGAGGAGGAGGGAGGAGGAGGAGGAGGAGGAGGCGGAGGAGGAGGAGGAGGAGGAGGAGGAGGAGGAGAAGGAGGAGGAGGAGGACGGGAGGAGACGGAGGAGGAGAGGAGGAGAAGGAGGAGGAGGAGGAGAGGAGAGGAGGAGCAGGAGGAGGAAGAGGGAGGAGGATGAGGATGAGGATGAGGAGGAGGAGGAGAAGCAGGGGGAGGAGAAGCAGGAGGAGGGGGAGGAGGAGGAGGAGCAGGACCAGGAGGGAGGAGAAGCAGGAGGAGGGGGAGGAGGAGGAGGAGCAGGACCTGGAGGAGGGCGGCAGTCAACTTCTCGATCCCCTGCAGGCGAAACCTCTCTGGAACGCTCACTTGGGCACCTGGACATCGCACTTCTTGCCTGGGTCCTCACTGCATTCTTGCATGGTGCAAGGCCTTCGTGCGATGCCAGTACTTTTGGGCTGTCCCGAATTTAGCGCGTCTCGAACCCACCTGCCGCACCTGTGCGCTCGGCCTGCTTTGCGTGCTCCTCGCATCAGAGCATACGGGCCGAGCGCATCGACCCCGTCCTTGCAAATCATCTCTTTCACTCCATCTTCACCTCTACCTCTTCCTCGTGCACGCTATTGCTACCACCAGCAGCAGTAAACTCGTTGTTAAGCGAACTCCAGGCCTTCGAGACACGATATCGAATCGCTGCCGAGGCTTCCGGCTTCGACTCCTCCTTGGGCAGGAAAGGAGGGATCCTCCTCCAAACCCCAGTCGTTCTCCCTTTCCCGACCATTCTGGGTCGCCGCCACGCGGAAGGTAAATCGGGGGAGGTGGGAGGAAGAGGAGAGAAACAGAGCGACAAGAAATGGCTAACGGAAAGGTGGAGCTTAGGGAGACACGGGGGAAGGAGGCGAGTTAAGCTAGGTGCGTCAGCGTCACATCTGCCGTCCTACCCCTCCCTCCCATCCATTACCAAGGAGCAGATATCCTATACATACATACATACATATATATATATATATATATGTATATATTCGCGCAATCGGATGTCGAGCAAAACAATGATCCCAAGAGAGTACGCGATGGATGGGAAAGCATGGCGTGAAAGAGCATGGCAGAGCATAGCTTGTCATAGCATGGCGTAGCATTGCGTAGTTAAGCATTGCATCACAAAGTATAACAAGGCAAATCATGGCATCGCACAGCGGTGCACAACACAGCATCGCATTGCATGCCGTGGCATGGTACCTGATAACTTGGAGGGTAAATGGCCCGTCTACGACAAGACAAGGCCTGTCTGGAATGCCAGTTCCATGTCCTCCGCAACGGTGCCTGCCCGATGTGAGCGCTTTCGAATGCCAAGTGCCGTCCGGAGGCGCGGGAACAAGGCCAGGGCGGCAGCGGGAGCACGATTTTGGATGACCGAAGCGCGGAAATGAGGGCGGGGCTGCAGCGGGAGTACCGTTTTGGAAGAACCAGAAACGACCAGACGGAACAAAAAACACAAGAAAAAAAACTAATGGAATCCTGTGTGCAAAGAAACAGTACGCGGAGAGGACGGGAGACTCTCCGGACAAAGTCAGGGGAGCGAGGAGAGTCGTATTCATATTCTGTAATTGTGAAGGCAGAACCGGGGGTTGCGGGGAAATAGGGGGGCGATCAGGGGGGAGGAGGGGATGGGAGGATGCTGCTTCCTTTTCCTCCTTTTTCTTCTCCGTCTCCCTGCTGCTGCTGCTCCTCCTCGTCCCTCCTCTCCCTCCGCCTCTTCCTCCTTGCAGGAGGAGGCGAAGGCCCGAACGAATGCTCTCTGACGTGGGGAGGGGCACCGGCGCAGCTTGCCACCGCGCGCCCTGGCGCGCGGGGGGACTGTCCGGAAGTGTCCCAGCCCATCTCCTCTGCGCGGGTGGAAAAGTGCCACCCTCGCGAGTGATGCTGTCGATCTCCTCATTATGGGCGGATCTACTATCTCCGCGCCGCGTGATCTGGGCCAGCCGCTCGCGTCTCCTCGCCCGACCCTTGCCACGCCGCGCCGCTGCGCGCGCGGCCGCGACGCCAAAAACAGCGCCCCCGCGCGGCGTGGCCCCCTCCGGGCGAGCCCTGCGCTCCTCGCAAGGGCTCTGCTTGGGAGTGAGCGCGGTGCGCGCGCTCTGTCAGTGACGCGTCCGGGTTTGCCCGGCTCCGCCGCGTCGCTGCGCGCGCGCGGCCGCGACGCCAGAGCTTGGGCGAACAGGGGGCACGCGGGCCAAAGGCGCTGTGGCTCGGGGCGGCCCGAAGCGGGTCGAAAAGCTGGGGCCTGCTTGCCTCCGACGGCTGCACTCCATCCCCGTCGGGCACGATTCGCTGATCTCTCTGCGGGGGATATCGCTCCCGCCCTGGGCCCGGTGCCGGAAGCGTCATAACTTTCTTTGGCGAGGGAGGGGGGGGGCACTTGCTTCAGAGGCCGCGGCCCTCTCACTTCAAAATCCGCCATGCTGCGACTGGAACCCCACCTAGCTGTCAATTCAACCGGGGGCCCTCGTGCCTCCGGGGCTTTTCGTGGACTCTCGTCTGCACTCTGGCGCCGTACCCAGGCCTGGTTCGCCTGCAGGACACTGGGCGACGGCATCGGGCGAAGGCGCAACGGGCCCTGCAGTGCCTGTGGAAAACTGAAGCTGCCTGCTCCCACTGATTTGACTGGCTACACCCTGTCTCGGATTACAGTGAGGCGGCCCCCGTCACCCTGCCAGGGCGTCGCTGTTCGCGGTTGCTGCGTTGCTGCTGACCTCGTCGCGAGCTCGCTCTCCATCGCGCCGTGCCTCGTCGAGGGTGCTGTGCTCGTCGCTGCCCAGGCTGGGCCCGCCGAAGTCCAAGTCATCCTCCTCGCCGCCCGTCGCCGCCCGCCGCACTGACCCAGTCGTAGTCGTTTTCAAGCCGCACGATCACGATACCCACTCGTGGCGCTAGTCGGTGCGTGGGGCGGCGTCGTCTGTCGCGGAGCTCTGGCCTGGCTACTGCCTCGCCATCTTTGCTGGTGGCCGGTCTGCGTGGCGGAGGCTGCCTCTGTTCTGGCGGCGGTTGCTGGCGTGGCACCATGATCATGTATTCCAGGGCTGTGGAACAGACCCGATCGAGTAACTACCCCGACCAACACTCTGGCCAACCCTTCAGGCCGACCCTGGTTAGGGGACGGTCAAGAACTTTTGCCTAGCGTGTCGCCGCGGCGGCTCCAGCGACACGCTGTGCCCTGCGAGCGGACAGCGTGTCGCTCCGCTCGGCGGGGCGGGAGGCTTCGAAAGGCGCGGGACGTGGACGCCTGGGCACTGGGGAGTGAATCGCGTCTCGCGCCGAAGCGTGGTGGGCCAGAACCAGAACGGCACGCTATCCAAACCTTCCCGACAGTAGTACTGTACTTCTCGGTGAAGGCGAAGCGCGCGACATCGAGCATCGCGCCGACAAGGAGCCCCGCCTGGCCTATTAGCGGTGCTGGTGGCGCGACTGGCGGACAGGCGGGCACGGCTTGCGGAGTAGCCAGAACATGGAGCTTTCAACCCTCCTTTTCCTGCCCCTCTCTTCCCCTGCTGCTGCTGCTGCTGCTGCTGCTGCCGCTTTTACTCCCCCCCAGACCTCCGACGTCGTGCTCCTTTTTCGTAACGTGGGCCCCTGGAGATCTAGACTCTAGACCCCTTCCCCGGGACCAACTTTTCATCCTGATTCGTTTTTTGACAGCCCCAGGGCCCGGTGAGGGCCCCCCAAGGGCAGAAAACTTAGACAAAAACTTTCGTCGTGTTTTTTTTCGCAGCGCGAGGAAATCAGGGTCCTCCCCCCCGCCCGACGACAGCGACCGCTGCCCCAGGCCAGCCCACGATCCCAGTCGTCCTGGCGCACGTCCGCCTTGCGGCTGGCGGCCAGCGCCGCGCTCAGGGCTATCTGCGCGCCGCCGCAGCCTCGGCCATCTGCTCGCCGCTGCGGCTGCTGCTCCTCCAGCTGCTCCCTCTCCTCCTCTCCCTGCTCCTCCTCCTCCTCCTCCTCCTCCTCCTTCCCCTCCTCCTCCACGTCCTCCTCCTCCACGTCCTCCTCCTCCACCTCCTCCTCCTCCACCATCCCCTCCTCCTCCTCCCTCCTCCTCCTCCTCCTCCTCCTCTTCCTCCTCCTCCTCCTCCTCCTCCTCCTCCTCCTCCAACTCCTCTTTCTACTCCTGCTCCTGCTCCTCCTTCTCCTCCTCCCTTTTTTTGGCAGCAACGCCCCATGCCCCTGAACGAGTGCCTCAGCTGCAGCCCCCAGCTTCACCCCTGCTGCAACTAAGTAATTTGCGTACTCGAAAATAAATTAAAATAGTCAACACTTCGTCGCCAGACTAAACTAATACAATTTTTGAACATGCCCCCTGTAGAGGGACACGCCCGACTTACGCTTGGGCCACAGAAGCAGGAGCTCCGCGCCCGCCAGCCAGAACTCTGGAGCCTACGCTGCAGTTCGTCGTCCTCGGAGGGGACAACCTCGGATGCTGGTTGGACCCCTCCTTCGCAGCGGTGTCGGCAGAATGATTGCCCAAGCGCAGAGGAAACGCTCACGCTCGGAAATGCCTCGCTCGTCGAGGCTGCGGTGAGCGTCAACCTGGAAAGAAGACAAAACGTGCGACTGGAAGTGATGCGTCGACGCATCGCTGCAGTGGCGTCAGCGCGACTGCGTCCTTCGTGGGGGACAGTGGGGCTGAGTCTCCAGGATGCTCAAACGCACCGTTCAGAAAGAGAACCATCTCGGGGCTGCTGGGGTCTGGTTCGAGAGCCTCCTCTTGGAGCCAAGCTGGGAGCACCTCGTCTCTCTATTGTTGCGCGCACGGGCACCCGAAAGTCCTGCCGAAGATGGTGTCGCGGGCCTTGCCGCACAGCGCACAATCAAGGGACATCGGGTAGCCCGCATCGGCAACGTCACCTGCAGTCCATCAAGCTTTGGTCGCCTGAGCACGGACCCGCCCTTTGGTTTGACCACCCACCTTCCTCGGGAGCTCAATATATGCTTAGTAGCGTCCCTAACATAACCGACGACCAACTCCGCATTTGTCCCCAGACTCCCTCTCAACAATTAAGCTTCACCAACTTGGGAAAAGACAGGGTGAGGGAAATCTCATGGCCCAACTCGTGAATCATGGTACAAGAATCTGACATCGTCCATCGAAGACGATACAGAGCCATTCTGAGCGCAGAGATAGGACCAGACACTGTGGCCCAAGAGCTCTTGCCCGACGAAAAAGCATGGCACCAACCTTCCCGATCTCGGCCCAATCAAAGGACCACGGGAAAGCTGGGGTACGCAAAATCCAAGTTTCCTTGGCCCACACGATGATGAGCGCACAAGAACCTCGCCAAGACGGCCCCCCCCCTTCCGGAGGAGCGAGAACCGACAGGCAACGGCCGTGAGACCTGGGTTTCACAGTCCATATGGCCATTCGTCTGAGGCACAGAAGCCCACGGTCCGAAATTTAAGTTGGTGACTCGAATGCAAGCCTGTCCAACTAAAAGCTCCACTTCTTTGATGAATTCCGGGGAAACGAATCCACTGCTACTGACCATGCCTGTCTTGTTCGTGGCAAATTTGCACTCGAGTTGATCAGTGGTGGCGCCTTCTAAAGCACGAGCTCCTCGAACCAGACCTTGGATGACCGCCTTGGCCGTCCCCGTGCAGCTCAAACTGAGGTCATCTACATAATTACGCATCGGACGTGGCGGACTTCCCAGGAACTTCGGCAAAACGCTTAATCGTGAACACCCTGATCCAGCTAGTTGTGAACGAGCAGACAACAACGATCCCACGATTCCCAACACATGGACCTTCCACAATCCCTCCCAACGCGAGAAATCGAGCAACGAGTACGCCTGCATAGCCAAACGCGCCAAGCAAGCAGACAACTTATGCTGGAGGCACGTGTGCCAGAGATTCTGCAAGCCAATCTGCTCGCAATGCTTGCGGAGGTCCAAGAAAATGGCCGCTGAGACCTGGCCGCTGCGAGTGCCAGCCTCAGCTGAAAAAGGCCTGCCTCCAGGCACCGTCTCGTGCATGGCAGCGCGGATCATTGGAGACCTCGCGGCTCCGTCGGGGGCTTTGAACTGCGCAATTGTAGCCATTTTCGTGGGCTCCCTGGAGCTACGGCGGCGTGCAAGGCAGCGCAGATCGTTTGAAGCCTCGCTGCCCCGCTGGGGTGTGCGAGCAGTGTAACTGTCGCCACTCTCGTGGGCTCGTGGGAGGCACGATTGCGTGCACGGCAGCGCAGATCATTGTCGACCTCGCGGCGCCAATGGGGGGTTGCGAACTGCGCAACTATCGCCACTCTCGTGCGCTCCTGGGAGGCAAGGCAGCGTGCAGGGCAGCGCAGATCATTTGAGACCTTGCGGCTCCGTTGGGGGCTGCGAATTGCGCAATTGTAGCATCTTTCGTGGGCACGGCGGCGTGCAAGGCATCGCCGATTATTTGGGACCCAGCGGCTCCGTCAGGGGCTGGGAACTGCGCGACTGTCGCCATTGTCATGGGCTCCCGGGAAGCGCGGCGGAGTGCAGGGCAGCGCGGACCATTTGAGACCCCGTGGCTCCGCAGGAGGCTGCGAATGGCGCAACTGCCGCCGCTCTCGTGGGCCCCTTGTAGGCACGGCGGGATGCAGGGCGCGCCCACGTGGCGCGGCGCTGTTGCAGCACAGAGTGCCGCGTAACGGAACGTTACGCAGCGGATGGGGCTGTCCTCGATGGCCCATCTCCCCCCCTCCCCCGCCCCTCCGTTGGTGCCTGTCCCCCGCAGCAACAGACAGCAAGGGTGAACCGAGCAGGTGTGGCGCATGGCGCTGCTACTCTCAGAAGCATTTCTTCCCCTTCGGTCTCCATCCTCCTTGTGGCCCTCCCCCCTCTCCCTTCTCCTCATCCTCCACTTTTGTCCCCCGTTCTATGTTCCTTGTCGTGCTTGCCGTCGCCGTCCCTGTTGAGATGTGAGTTGCGCAGGTGTTCGACGCGCGTGGCCAAGAAGTCTAGCGTGCTGCATATCTCGCAATGTGTTCATTTGTGCGGTGCGCTCAAGTACATAGGCAACTCGCGTGGAGAAAGGGTTTTGGGGCGGCTCGGGTAGTGCTCGACTCGGCACCGAGCTTCCATCGGCGAAAAATCGCCAGAAGATCTGCGATAGACCCCCACCAGCGAGCTTCACCGCGCGCTCCTGGGCGATCGGGGGTCGATGTCCCCCCCCTCCTGGGGCTGATGCCCGCACCTCGGGACGATCTGGGCAACCCCCCGAAGCGCTCTCGGCGAGGGGCAGGAGTTGCGTGTCCTCTACAGTCCACCCCGACTGCAACCTCGAGCCCGAACCTTGCTCCCGTCCGCGCCCCCTCGCCGTCCCAGACGTCCAGTGTCTTGGTCGTTTCAGCGCGGGGCCCTCCTGAAAGCTCGATCTTCTTGCACTGCTAGGCTCATGTGCTCTATATCACTAGACCTCACTATGGCCAGATAGTGGCCTAGTGATGTACTTAGCCATACAATTGAGCATTCATGCTTTCCTTTTTCTCGTCCGACCCTTTCCCCAGGGCTGTTTTTTCATTCCGAATCGTTTTTTGATGGTCGCAGTGTCCGCCGAAAGCCCCTGGAGGCCGAAGGCAGCAGGAGCCCTCCCGTCGCAATCTTTTTCACGACGTGATCGCGTCTGCCGTTGCCCCTGACCGTTCCCCTTCTCGCTCCTCCTCCTCCTCCTCCTCGCTCCTCCTCCTCCTCCTCCTCGCTCCTCCTCCTCCTCCTCCTCGCTCCTCCTCCTCGCTCCTCCTCCTCGCTCCTCCTCCTCCTCCTCCTCCTCCTCCTCCTCCTCCTCCTCCTCCTCCTCCTCCTCCCCCTCTTGACTCGCTGCTCCTGACTCCGCCACACTTCTCTCCCTCCAGTGCGGGGCGGGTCCGTTACCGTGCGCGCCTGCCTGCGGGAAGTCTCCTCCGGGGGCCTTCGGCCCTGAGATCTCCGGAGGGCCTCCGACGGCCCGGGAGGAGCCAGTGGCGCCCCGCCACTCCCAGATATGCGGCGTCCTGACTTTTTCTTCACCACGGGCCCCCTGGACGTCGCGACCCTTTCCCCGGGATCAATTCTGGATCCCGAAACGTTTTCTGACGATCCCGGGGCCCGAAGAAGGCCGCCAGAGGCCGAAGCTGGCCAAACACCTCCAGTCTTTTTTTGTTTTTGTTGTGGTTGTTGTTGTTGTCGATTTTTTGTTGTTTTTTTATATGGTGTATTGTTTCATTTTTGATGTTAAAGCAATGTTGTAGTTGGTGGTGTTGTATTAATGCTATTAGTATTCGGACTCTTCTTGCTACTGCTATTAATGCGATACTGATCATTATTAGTATCATGTTTGTCCAGAGTATGCTTATCACTAACATGATCAGGATTCTTATTCTTAAATCAGTATGACTCATGGTAAGTATGTATGTGTGCAGGCATGCATGTCTGCACATACGCATGCACACATGTACATTTGACGGTGATTAGTCGTACCATTGGTATTATTGTGAATATCATGTGTCATATTACTGTGATGTTACTTGCGATTATTTTGATTCGTATTACTGTAACCACGACGAACTTTTACTGCTACTGCTACTACTGCTACTACTACTACTACAACAACAACAACAACTACTACTACTACTATTACTACTACTCGTACAACTACAACTACAATAACAACTGCTACTACTACTACTGCTACTGCTATTACTGCTACTACTGCAACTACTGCTACTACGACTACTACTACTACTACTACAACAACTACTACTACTACCACTACCACTACCACTACCACTACCACTACCACTACCACTACTACTACTACTACTACTACTACTACTACTACTACTACTACTACTACTACTACTACTACTACTACTACTACTACTACTACTACTACTACTACTACTACTACTACTACTACTACTACTACTACTACTACTACTACTACTACTACTACTACTACTACTACTACTACTACTACTACTACTACTACTACTACTACTACTACTACGACTACTACTACTACTACTACTACTACTACTACTAGTACTACTAGTACTACTAGTATACTAGTACTACTACTAGTACTACTAGTACTACTAGTACTAGTACTAGTACTATAGTACTACTAGTACTAGTACTAGTACTAGTAACTACTAGTACTAGTACTAGTACTAGTACTAGTACTACTACTACTACTACTACTACTACTACTACTTATACTTTACTACTACTGCTACTACTGCTACTACTACTACTACTACTACTACTACTACTACTACTACTACTACTACTACTACTACCGCTACCGCTACCGCTACCGCTACTACTACTAGTAATGCTACTACTATTATTGTATAGCATATGCCACGCGATCGTGTCTGTGTCCCCCCCGCCACGGGCGGGGCCTTCCAGCAGCTCCTGCGCGGAGGAGGAGCCCAAGGACGAGCCGGCGGCGTCGGGGCTGCCCCGCTCCGTGGCGAATAGGCCGTGGTGAGGGCGGCCGCGGCGCGGCGGCTGGCGGGGGCCGTTTTTTTGTTGTTGGCATGATCCGCTGGAGGGCGCTCTGGTCTGGAGGAGGAGGAGGAGGAGGAGGAGGGCGAAGAGTAGGACGAGGAGGAGGCGAAGGAGGCGGCGGAGGCAGAGGAAGCGGAGGATGCAGAAGAGGAGGAAGATGATGCGGAAAAGCTGGGGAACGCGGATGGTGATGATGATGATGATGGTGGTGATGATGATGACGACGATGATAGTGATGATGGTGATTCTGGTGATGATGATGATGACGATGGGGAGGAGAAAGACCATTTTAAACCAAAGACTCATGAACGACGTTGCAACAAACCGTCCCTCCAAACTCCCTCTTCATAGGTCTCTACATTGACTCATTTTCACTGAAGGAAGTACCCCGTTGGAAAACAACCGTTCGAAATTCTGTACTGTGTCAGAATACCATTCCTCGGATTTCAGCGCCGCGAATCACCGTCACTGTTGCGTCTTGACGATCCTGTATCGTGCCCAAACACAATATCTGGGACTTCAACACCACGATATCGACGTAAGTGCTGCGCCCTGACAATCCGACATCGTGCCCAAACACCATCTCTGGGACGTTAGCCATGCACATCCTTGAAACCTGTGTAAACTCTTAAAATGGATGTGCTCCGCGCGAACGTGAAAACCACATTTTGAACAAGAGCCACCCTCCATCCTTGACTCTCTTGCATTTACCATGACGAGCAAATGTGCGCGGCACTACGGCGAAAACCACATGTTGAAAACGGCCCGCCCTCCATCCGTGAAGCTCTTACAATTTACTAAACGAATGTGCACGGCGCTAAAGCGTGAACCGCATTCTGAAAACGAGCTGTCCTCAATCCGTGGAACTCTTGCGATTGTTATGTCGAAAGGTTCGCGGCGCCGAAGAGGAAACCACATTTTGAAAATCAATCGTCCTCCATCCGTGACTCTGTTGCAAATGGTAATCTTCGGGGTAATAGATGGGGAGGAAGTCTCAGGCGAAACGCCCACTCCGCCCTTCCGACTGACCTGGGTGTGCGACAGGGCGGAGGTATTCATACATAAAATGCAATGACGAAAGAGACTCCATGCTGCTCTGGGAAAACAGAAGCTGGGTTAAGGAGGAGGAGGAGGAAGAGGAGGAAGAAGAGAAAAACGAGGCGGAGGTGGAGAAGGCGGAGGAGGAACCGGAAGAAGTGGTGGAGGCGCAGGAGGCGGAAACGGATGAGGCGGAACAGCTGGAGGAGGAGGAGGCGGAGTAGGAGGAGGAGGAGGAGGCGGAGGTGGAGGAGGAGGAGGAGGAGGAGGACCGAGTGCTGCTTTGGGAAGACAGGATGAGGCCGAGTGCCCCAATTGGGAGGGCATGAGGAGGACATGAGGAGGAGGATTTTGACATCAACCGTGGCAAACAAAGGCGACGACCAGAGGGCGTCGCCTCCTGCTATCTGGCCTGAAGCAGGCAAGCAAGCAGTGAAAATAATCGAAGAGGGCAGGCGCGAAAGCCACGGGGCGATTTCCCGCTGGAAGGGAGGATCCCCTGTGGCTCACCGCCTGCCCCCCTAGGCCCGCGACCAATGAAGAATGAGGTCAGGGCGAGACGCACCACATGCGGGGAGCGCATGCTGCATCTCCTAGTCTGAGTCATCAGACTGTGGTGCAGCGACGGCGACGAGCGGGGCCTCATCCTCTTCAAGGGCGAGGGCTGCTCGGGCTCGGCCGAGCGCAACACCCGAAGAGGCTGACTCGGACAACTGCTGCGCAGCCTCCTGAGAAGGACTCTCATCAGGCGTGTCGAACAAAAAAACAGGCGGCTTCCTCTTCCGCATCGAGCGGTTCAAAGAGGGAGAGATGAGGGGCCAACAGCTTAAACGATGGTAAACGACGACACAGACGACGGGTCTGCTGGCCCTGCGGCGGGACTGGCGGGGGAGGATCCACCTCCAGCTCCACATCTGCTGGCACTGGTGTCCCCCCTGCAGCGGTGACCAGTCTCCGCGCCAGCTTAGCAGTCCGCAACTCCCGTTCTTGGTCGGTGAGGCGCCGTGGCAGCTCCTCATGCTCCAGGTCATCGTACCAGGGGCCGACCTCAACTGAAATACCTTTGCGCTTTGGATGGCGGCCTGCCCCCACAGAACTCCAGGCGGACTTTGCGCCCGCACTCTGAGGTTGACCATCGCGCAGTCTAAGCAAATTGCGAGGCTGCCCGTGGGAGGAATAGGCATAGCATCGCATACACATAGTGAGGGCGGCACCATCGGAGCATAGCAAAGCAATGCAGTTGTGCCTGAGGGCTGAAAGCACCGCGGAAGTCAGCTTGGAATCTCTAAGGCACTTCCCAGGGGGTGGCGGGTCCAGACCTCCAAGCCGAGAACCATCAGGGTTCTTCCGCGGCACGCCCTTGGCGACCTTGAGACATTCAATGCGCTGCCAAAGCGATGAGACACGAGTCCACTGGTGGGGCCTCGGTTCAATTCTAGGCCTGGGGGGCTTGGGCACAAGCGGGACTCCTGTCAGGTTGAGCCGAGGCCACTCTGGCATCAGCTCGGCCGAAAGACGCATGACGCACTGAGCGATCGAGAGGCATCGCTCAAGCCATTCCACATCCTCGGGGTCGGGTTGTGGGTGGCGGGCAAGCGAGCTTTTGGCAACAACATCAGCGAGGTCGTTACCTTGCTTCCAGAAACGCTCGAGCTCAGTAAGGTCGCTGGATTCTTCAACATGTGCCTTGGCCTTAAAAAACCCTCTAAAAGCTTGCGGTGAGTGGGGAGTAAAAAACCCAGCGTACACACGCTGGTAGGACAGAGCCCTGAGCAGCGGCTCATTGGCTTGTACCACCACATTCTTACAATCAGATTATATTGAGCTGCCTGGCATAGCATGCATTGCAGCAACAGCGTAGGCCCCAAACTCTCCCCCTTGGGCAGTCTGGAGGTTGGGGGCCCACAGGGGACAACTAATGCGACAAATTTCATTACCGTCGTCACCTACCATCACTATCCCCCACCCAGCCCTGGAGAGTTCTTTGACAATGTGCGCAGCACAAGAAACGTCCACGAATATGTGTCCAGAGATGTTGAGCGATTTCGAAGAACGATCATTGGCCCAAATGATCTCGAGGCCAATGTCTTCTACATCATCACGAACAGGAAACGGAAAAACGTCCCCTGGATGCCGGAGCAGGCCACGAATGTACAGCAAGTGGTCTTCCTCATTGTTCTCGGGCGTGAGGTCAGGCGGAGGGAAAAGGGAAAACTTTGGCTTGAAACTGTCAAACACCACCTGCCCCTTGTCATGACACGCTGGGCAGAACCAAAGCCGATGAAGCATAGTATCGGCCGCACTCCCACAAAGCTCGCAGACCGAGCAAACAGCATATCCTGCTTCGGCGGCTCTGGTCCTAGTCCACGTGGCATTACAAGCAACAGCCTTGACACAACCTCGCTGGTACGGCGTGCCCTTCTTGGAGCGCAAAGTAGCTGCCACTACATCATGGCAAACTCGGGCTCCTGGAAGATGCGAGAGCAGTGCAGCACCGCTAGCCCTCTCGTGGTTCCTCTGAACTGCAGCCTTCAAAAGCTTCTTAAGAAGGGCTGGGGACGTCACAATGAGCGAAACCTCGGTCCCAAAATCGTCTAAGAGGGTACAGTAGTTGGGCATGCTCCAAGAAATCCTCCTCAAGGCCAGTTTCATGGCCCCCAAGGGCCCCTGAACCCCGCGCCAGGTTTTGGGCCCAGGGGAACGGAAAACAACCCTCCAAGCGTCCCTCAGCTCAGCCCACGGGATGACAAAGGGAACGAGCTTGGTTTGGTTGGCCCAAATCTCCTTGGAGTACCTCACGATCGGCGCCACAGCAAGGTACCAAGTCGGGTCCTGGGATCAAATCAGGACGGAGGTCCGTGACCTCATCTTGGCAGACGGCTGCATAGTACTGGCGGCGACGACCTGCAGTCTGTCCCATTCGAAATTCGAGAGCCCGTGAACCTCATACCCAAACGTGAGGCTGGGGAGGGGGCCCGCGGTAAAAACTTTGACAGCATGCCGCCCCAGGGGCCGCTTGGCTCGCTTGAGCCTTCTAACCTTTTTGTTGAAAACCCGCTTGCGGTCAGAGAACTTTTTCCCCCTACCAGGAAGCCGACGGGAGGAACCAGGGGCAAAGTCGATATCCACATGAGGAGGAGGAGGAGGAGGAGGAGGAGGAGGAGGAGGAGGAAGAGGAGGAGGAGGACGAGTAGGACGAGGATGAGTAGGACATGAGAAGGAGGACATGAGGAGGAGGCCATGAGGAGGCGGACATGAGGAGGAGGACATGAGGAGGAGGACCTCGTCCTCCTGTATTTTTCGGATGGTCTCGGGACGCCTTTTCTGCGTTCTTTGTCCTGTTGGGGCCTCTGGGGGCCACCTGAAGCCTACAGTGACGTCTGGGGGTCAGGCTCCGGGGTGGGGAAAGCAATCCCATCTCCTCCTCCTCCCCCTTCCTCCAATCTCTCTTCTTCCTCCTCCTCCTCCTCTTCCTCCTCCTCCTCCTCCTTTTTCTCTCCTTTTTTTGCAATCGCACATTGTGAGTCGTATTCTCTTCTCTCCTAGCAACTTCCAACCAAACTACCACCTCTCCCGCGTGTGTTCGTTCTCACGCGGGACTTGGAACAGTGCTTCTTCTCTTGTGCGATTGTCTGTTATTTCCCAAGGCTCCTGTCGTGTTGGGTCCTTGTATTGCACCCGCAGCGCCCCGCATCCTTCCGTCTTTCCTCTTCCTCCTGCTCCTTCTCCCACTCCTCCCGCCCTCCTCCATATTTATCGCCATCGTCATCGCCATCGCCCTCGTGATCATTGTCATATTGTTATTATCGTCATCATCATCATCATCGTCATCATCATCATCATCGTCGTCATCATCATCATCATCACCAGCACCACCATCATCACCATCATCAGCATAACCATCACCATCAAAATCAGCCATCATCACCATCATCACCAGCACCAGTGTTATCACCATCATCATCACCATCATCATCACTATAATCGGCCTCCTCGTCCAACTCCTCTCCTGACCACCACAAGGACCATCAACAGATCAGCAAGCGCAGACTTCAAATAGATAGATCGGAAGACAGGAATGAAGTGGACTG